GCCACCATTTCAACCAAACTTAAATCCTACTGAAATTCATTACCTCACTTTTCTTGAGATTCTTCTGTTAACCTAACAAAAAATAAAGCACAAGGAGAAAGCAATTTTTCTCTGATTCTGTGGGTTTGTAACATTTTCGTAGGTGCAGGCTTGTAGACAACGATTATTTCTATTTGAGGTTTCTAAAAACCTGCATCAGTCTAGGTTCTCCAGAGAAACAGAGCCAACAGGATAAGCACATAAAGAGATTTATTCTAAGGAATTGGTTTGTGTGGTTACGGAGGCTGAGGGGTTCCAGGATCTGCAGTTGACCAGCTAGAGACTCAGGAGAGCCAATGGATAATGCTAGTCCGAGTCAGAAGGCCTGAGACCCAGGACAGCGGATGGTGTGAGTTTCAATTTGAGTCCAAGTCTGAAGTCAGGAGAAGACTGATATTCCAGCTTGAAGACAGTCAGGCAGAATGAATTCTCCTTACCCTGCCAGTATCTGTTTAACCAGATATCTGGGCATTTGATGATGCAGTGAAGATGACACGTACAGTGAACCGTTACAAAATCCAATTGTCTTTTCTTGGGTTTCTATGATTCTGTCTGCAGATCTAGGCTTTGCCTGTGTGGTGTCATATAGGGCAAGCTGTCCCCTGCCAAAGAAGTTCTGGGCTAGGTAAAGCCTTGTCTCAACTTGCTTTTGTGGAAGACTCACAACTGTGCTTTGCAACAATGCTTCAGGCGCCTCACGTATACAAGAGAAAAGGCAAATTTGGAACAAGATGGGTAAAATTCAAAACTAAGTCCAGTGTGTGATTGGGAACTTTCCGGAGGCTCACGTCCCTTACCTTCGGTGGGCTCTCTGCGCGTCTCCATCCTCCCGCCCCTGCTCTAGGGCCAGGCCTCCCAGGAACGAAGTTGGGTTTGATGTAATGGCTTCTATCCCCTTGGACCCTTCCATCCTTCTAGCCTCATAAGCCCACTCATGGGACCAACCCAGTATGTTCCACATCACAATCACCTCCCACACCAGTTCTGTTTTCGATTCACTTAACACATTTGACTCGGTGGCCTCTGTGTTCCAGGCACTGCACTAGGTACTGAGGCTGGGCAGGGAAGGAGTCAGACTCTCAGGGCACTGAGCTTCACCCCTGTCTTTCACATCTCTTCCCGGCGGGCCCCGTTCTCACAGGCTCAGACTGCTGCAGCAGCCTCCAGGGATAGGCTCTCACTTTCCCCTCTTAGCCATCATACGTACTTTTCCCTCTCTGGGCCAGGGACCCCTTTGGCAGTTTGGGGAAGCTGATGGACATTCTCAGAAATCACGTTTTTAAATGTGTAAAATGAAACGCATAGGATTACAAAGGAAACCTTTACCTTGACACGCATTTTCAAAATGTTTCAAAAATCAAATTTGTGGTGTAATATATACGTGCTTCTTCACTAACCCATTAAGGAATGAGTTCCAGCAGCAGCTCTAATGCGGCGAGGAATGTAAAGGATATTTAAAGACATCTACCCTAACCGGAATACGACAGGGAATATCTGTGATTTCTATTGGCGACAGTCACAGGTTGTTCTAACACCACTGAGCTTTGCTGACTACGCTCATAATTGAAGGAAACGTTCCATTTCCTGAAAGTAAAGATGTATTTTTTTTTCCCTCATGCAAGGACACAAGCCCCCTGAAGCCTATGTGTGGAGCCCAGGTTAAGAATCTGCTAGACTGATTTTTATAGCAGAGGCCTGGATTTCCTGCTCAAAATCTTTTTTTATTTTTTTTAAAGATTTT